GTTCCCTATGAGAAGACGGACACTAAAGGTGCTGTATTTGAATGTGCAGAACCTTTAACAAGATGGATGAACTCAGGACTCTGATCGACGAGCACACGCCAGATATCATCGCCTTGACATAAACATGGCTTTCGAAAGCTATTAGAGATCATGATATATCCCGCAGAGGTTACCAACTGTTTAGAAGGGACAGAAAATGCCGAAGGGGAGTGGTCGCTCTCTATGTTGGCCACAGCCTGACCGCGGTCCCTGAGCAAAATTTAAAAACAACAGGGGAAGTGGAATTCTTATCTTTAACTATCTCCAATAAATACGCCCAACCGCTGGCGTTTACAGTTGCATATCGCCCCCCAAACCAGATGTCCGAACAAAATAGCCTTCTCCTTTGGGCACTTAGCATGACCAGCTCGAAAAGAGACGTCCTTATTGTCGGGGACTTTAACGCCTCCAATATTAACTGGCAAGCTTAGACGGTTTCGGGTCCACCGAACACATTCGGACAACAATTGCTTGAATTGGCAGCGGAAAAACTACTTTTCGAGAATGTACGTCTCGGAACACATGTTAGGGAAGGGCAACGTTCAAATTGCCTCGACCTGGTGCTCACACGAGATGAGGAGAGTGTGCTGGATATACAAGACCTCCCGCCAATTGATGCAAATGGTCATATTGTGATGCGCTTCGAGTATTCCATGTTCGACCAAACTGATTCACCTTAAGAACTGCAAGCAAATATCTGGAAGGGAATTTTTCCGGCAGGCGAACGCAAGTCTCAGAAATACCGTGGACAACCACATTGCAGGGAATAGTTAACGACTATTGGAGCACGTTCAGCTCACTGGTCAAAAGAATCGTTTAGCCAAACTGTTCACTCAGACGAAAGAAAACAATCGACCGTCCGCGGTATACTGTTGAATGTCGTACGTAATGTTAAATATCGTCGGTTATTTTCTGTATATGCAATTGCTATTTGCAATAAACTACCCAGAAATATAAAAAAATCTGCAAAATTATCCTTTATTTAAGAGAACTATTACTCGATTTTTGCATTCAGAAAAGCTCCCACAAATTTTTCGTGCTGAATCCACCGAACGACTCTACCGTAGCGATGACGTTTGTGGTCTCTGAACACTATGGCCGGTCTCACCAGGGACGATTTCTTTGGCCAACGGCGACAGCTGTTCTTCGGCGCTTCTGTTTGGACTAGCCACAACTTCATGAAAGAAATTGGCGACTGATATTATCCGATACCATGCAGCCCCTCCATTCTTGACGGTCGAAAGTTTGCCGCCAGCAGGTATTTTTCTCCTGAAGACTCCAAACCATAAGACCACCGTTAGCTATATTTTTATTCCTTTTCCACATAAGTTTTTTTTTCACTGCCGGCCGGATTTGTGTTTAACGCTTCCCTGCCAATGCTTGTGAATTGGCATTAAATAAAATTCTTATTATTATAAATCGAAAACTGCAAATTGCGTTTAAGAGGAGAAATAAAGTGTGAAGACGCTATAGACAAACAGAGAGTCCTGAACACCTGAAGGAATACAAGCGATAGCGGAATGCGTATAAACGCGAGGCCAAAAGACTTCGAATCATCTATGAGCTATGCATATTGCAAAACTCTCTGAAGCAGCCTAAAATCCTCTATATTTGCATACGTAATGGCAAGAGCAATCGCGACCCGATTCCAGTGCTGAAATCCCAAAACGAAATAATTAAGACAGATGATCCCCTGAAAGCATCAGCCTTCTCCAGTTCCTTTCAGTCGATATTCACTCATGACACAAATCCCCCTCCTAAGCCTTACGTAGACCAACGGCAAAATCTTTCCTGCCCTGCATTGAGAGACAATATTTTCTTCCCACCCACGTTGATAAGGACCAAACTAGGCCGGCTGAAGCCTGCCAAATCACCTGGTTCAGATAGAATTCATCCACTTGTCCTCCGAGAATTAGCTGGCGTACTGTGTGAGCCGGTATCCATGATATTTCAGAAGTCCATCGAAGAAGGCGGACTGCCGGAGGAATGGAAAACGGCCCATATTTCTCCATTCTATAAAGGAGGATCCAGGCTGGAGCCCAAAAATTACCGTCCTATAAATTTAACCTGCATTTTGTGCATGGTCATGGAACGACTTATTAGAGGATATTTAATGTCTTATCTGGAGCAGAGGGACCTGTTGTGTGCTGCTTAGCACGGATTTCGTAGTGGTCACTCCTGTCTTACAAGCAGTCTTTACTCGCAGGAAAAGTGGACAAGAGCCATAGACCAGGGCCGTCCAGTGGACGTAATCTTCTCCGACTTTAAGAAGCTGTTTGATAGCGTTCCTCGTGGACGACTCCTACAGAAGTTTTAGAAGTGTGGAATACAGGGCAACATTTTTAAGTGGATTAAAAGTTTCCTCTCATGCAGGTTCCAAAAAGGGATTGTTGGTACCACTGCATTCGAATGGGTTCCAGTAAAAAGCGACGTTTCACAGGATTCTGTCTTGGGTCCTCTCCTCTTCCTCATCTATATAAATGACTGTCCTACAGACCTTGAGTGCGATGGCATCATGCTTGCAGGCGATATAAAGATCCAGAAAACAGTCAGCTGTGTTGATGACTCGCAGAAACTACAGGAAGATGTTAATAAGCTGGCTACTTGGCTCCGCGAGTGGCTTCTAGCGTTTAACGTATCAAAATGTGTAGTCTTATGAGTAGAATGTAGTCGTAGGCGCTTCTCAAAACACCAGTACGCTATATATGGTGTTCCACTGAAAGAAGTGGACACGCAAAAACCTAGGTGTCTGGACAGGCTCAAACTTGTTGCCCTCTCAGCACTTCAAAAGAGTCGTCAAAAAGGCAACCAGCATTATGCACTGGATTTGGCGTGTTTTCACAATCTTTCGTCCAGAACTCTTTGCGCTGATATTCGGTGCGTTCGTCAGACCATATTTGGAATACGAAATGTCAGCCCGGATTCCCTGGATGAAGAAAGACAGTGATGCCATAGAGCAGGTGCAACGACGAGCCACAAAAATGGTAGACGGTCTCGGGACTCTGTCATGCCCAGAAAGACTGATCCAGCTAAACTTGTTCCCCCTATCCTATAGACGAATGAGGTGTGACCTGTTATGGACATTCCGAATTCAGTATCAGTACCAGTGTATTTCAGGGAAAGGAGGTGTGTACCTTTGAAATCCCTATTGGTTACATGCAGAGGAAGTATATGGAGAAAATGGAAAGGAAGTAACATGAAAAAAATACAAAGGGAATAACAAAAACTGTACAGATGAATACAGAATGAATGTTCGCTCAAATCTGAAGACTTCTTTGAATTCACGACCATGCGTCACCTGCGCGGTCATCCGTACAAAGTCAAGCAGGAGCGTACACACCTAGATCATCGGAAGTTTTCCTTCAGCCATCGTGTTGTTCGACCGTAGAACTCACTCCCAAGTGAGATAGTGACATCTGATACAATGACTGTATTCAAAAGGCAGCTGGATCTTTTGATAATTGATAAACGACGGCTCTCACTGCAGGTCTACCTGCCGCCAGTCACAAATTTTATTCCCTGATTCCATCCCTGACGTTTCATGAAGTTTTCTCTCTCAAAATACGCAAATGACTGCACTTTATGCTGATTGTATATTATTCTGCTTAAAATTTCATATGTACACAGAAAAGCCCGCCTGCCGCACACTTCGCAGTCCCGCACTGTAACAACATTTCCATAGACAAGTATGTTATTGGCAAAATTTTAGTAAGATGTGCATTTAACATTTATATTGTACGTTCCGTTTTCAATATGGTCATCAAGGGCATTGTCTATTACCCTAAAATAGACTATAGGCTATATACTTATCTTGACACCGGACCGAGATGGGGAGGAGGAGAGAGTGTGGTGAACGCAGGATAAGTCTACTATCACTAATGAATAACTCACGTACAAGTCACTGTCCTTGCTCTCGCCCTGCTGTGGAGCACACGGTGGACATAGTTGAAATTGACGGTCAAACTGTCATATATCACATGTGCGCATAGGACTAAATAGACCAATACGATGGCGAAATGCGCGATAAAGTATGGACAGTAGAAGTGCCCGTGATGGGTGTTGGCCAAGGCGCCAGAAATCGGTTATCCAGTCTCATTACTAATTATTTACCAACAATAGGTCAGGCCGACACGATATCGGAATGTGAGGTACCATTGGAGACAGAGTGGCGCCAACTATGCCCCACTGATACCGATGGTCGTGGATGTCCCCTAAACCCAGGTACGTTTTCGCTGTGATGCGTGCGAAGATGTGCTTCCCAAAGGGGCCACGTGGTAGTTGCGCTGGACCAACAAGGGGTCATATCGGATTCTGGTAGGAATTATCGGAATGCGCACTATAACAAATGTCAACATGTGCGATGGCGGACATCGTTATCGACTGATATCGCACACAGGGGGCGCATGCCGCCTCCCCACTGTTGTTATTTTTGGTTGAAATCCTGGCTATTTGTTGTGTGAACCGGGGTGTGAGGAGCGGAACGCCAAGGTGCGGGCTCAACCCTGCCATCCACCGTCGCACTCCTCTACCTCCGGTCTTCTTGAATTTGTTTTGACACCGGTTCCGGGTGGGGAGGAGGAGAGAGTGTGGTAGATGCTGCGCAGGCCTACATTCACCATAAAGTAGTTCACGCGCAAGTCACCGTCCCTGCTCCACCTTAGTGTGGGGTTCACGGTGGACGTCGTCGAACTCGACGGTCGAATCACCGGGGGGTGAAGGAGTGTCCAATTGTGGGTTCACGTGATGGTCGTAGTGGGCCGCTCACTTGCTTGCAGGTTAAGAATACGCCTAGGATCCATTAACTGGCTCCTAGCTCTCACGCATAGCTCCCCAAAGCTAGATTCTGCCTAGCGGTCACACCCCGGTAACCGCCTCGACCGATGGGCTAAATCGGGTGAGGGTATCCGTATGTGCATCTCCACACACAGTAACCCGGTTCCGCTCCCACCGTCGCTGCGCGGATGGTTCGCCGTCTTGAGGTCTTCAAGACGGGGCCCCGTCTGCAACTCCGTAGGAGACCACCAGCACTCCGCAAGCTCCTGACTGACCAGCCCCTTTCTACTCCCCTCCTCATCTATCCTCCGCCTTTCTCCTGCGCCCCTCACTCCCTCTACTCTCTGCTCTACTTAACTCTTACCCCACGGTCGAAATTCCCACAGACCGCCCATCCAAGACAAAGCTTCGTCTGCAACCCCGCAGGAGGCCACAAGGTGAGTGGCCCACCCCCGGTTAGCCAAATATTGCTCTGCTACCCTAACTTTTGCTAGTTCTTGCTTGTTAGTTTTCGTCTGTCTGTTTATGTTTGCCCTTAGTGCAAGCGAAATGTCGTTTTGTTGAATGCCCTTCTGTTGTATTTTTCTGTTCACCGTTTATATTTCAGTAACCAGCTAGCTTAGAGGGAGACGGGAAACTATGCTCCCCATCTCTCTACATTTCCCCCATCCCACCCACTACCCACGCCAGGCTAACTCGGGTCTTTCTCCCACTAAACAAAGTCGTGGCCCATAGTGAAGTTCGACAGCTGTCTGGGATATCTGAGCAGCCCTATTTAGAGATAAAACTGCTCACGCTCGCGAAGGGGAAGGGCCAGGAGCGGTGCCCCAGACAAATGCTGGGATCACGTCCTCTGCACACGGACCGTGGCGAGCAGACGCAAAACACACGGTCGGAACAACCAAACAAAAAACAACACTCTCTCTTCCCCGTCCTACTCCCCGCCACCTGCTGAAAGGCAACCCGAGCTGCCGAAGCCTGAACTAAAGGATTGCTGAAATGACTACAAATATACTACTAACAGGATTTCAACAGATCATTTTTAAGCGGCAAATTTAACTCATATGGAAACCTTTACAGTCCAAATGCGGTGAACAAAGTTTTTCGCAATTATTTCGTGAATACCATACCCCTTTCGCCTTTATGTTAACTTATTAGATTTATGAATTCTCCTTACTAAAACTGCAAGGAAAAGTTTTGCAATTTAACTATGTTCCCTTATATCTGTATCCTCTAAATGGAGTTTTCAAGGCTTCTGTCATTTACTCCAAATATACTGATTGATACTGACCCCACTCCACAAGCTGGTAATGAGTCCGCTCACCCTGACAGCCTGGAATTTTCGTTCCTTTTTAGACAGTCTAAGGAACAACCAACCGGAACAGAGGACAGCACTAATGGTTCGGGAACTGGCGCGCCACAAGGTGGACATCGCTGCAATCAGCAAGACCCGGTTCTCCGAGCAAGGCAAACTGGAGAAGGTGGGTACCGGCTACACCTTCTTCTAGAGCGGTCACTCCAAGGCAGAGCGACGGGACGCGGGCGTCGCCTTTGCCATCTGGAACAACATTGTGGGACGACTGCCCTGTCTGCCGCAGGTCATCAATGATCGCCTATGAGCCTCCGCCTGCCTCTCCGGGGAGGCACATTCGCCACCATCGTCAGCGTCTACGCTCCGCCGATGACCAGCCCTGGCGCTGTAATGAACAAATCCTATGACGACCTGCATGCCCTCCTGACGTTTGTGCCGAAGGCAGGTAAATTTCAACGCCCGAGTCGGTACAGATCATGCTGTCTGGAGAATTGTTCTGAGTCCCATGGTCTAGAAGGCTCCTATGAAAATGGCCTACTCCCGCTAAGAACCTGCGCAGAACACCATTTCATCCGGACTTACACCTTTTTCCACCTTCCGACGCGAGATAAGGCCCCCTGGATGCACCCTCGGTCGCGATACTTGCACCCGCTGGGCTATGTCCTCGTCCGGTGGCGAGACCAGCGGAATTTGCTGACGACAAAGGTGATCCCAGCTGCCGACGGGCGGATGGACCATCGCCTCGTCATCTCCAAGAGAAGAATCCGCCTACAGCCACGCAGGAGTCATCAAGGTTAGCGACCCCCCAGGTAAACTGAATATTACTTTCTTGTCTTTGCCTGCTAGCCATCTCGATTTCAGCATTGAAATAGCTCAAAGACTAGCCAGCATTCCACTTGCCGCCGCCGCCTTCGAGAACGCCTTCGTGGAGAACAGATGGTGCCAACTAGGGGCACAGCCAAGTCGACCTCCCTGGATATCTTCGGTCGCGCACGTCGTCAACATCAGGGCCGGTTCGACGACGATTACGCCGCCGTCAGCAACCTGCTCGCCCAGAAAAACAGCGTGCACAAAGCCTACGTCGACCGCCCCACCGACGACAACGGAGCTGCTTTCTACCGTAGTCGTTGCCTCGCTCAACAGCGACTGCGCGAGATGCAGGAGACCTGGACGGCTCAAACGGCCAAGGAAATCCAAGGGTACGCGGACCGCAACGAAGGGAAGAATTTTTTCTCAACTATCAAGGCTGTCTACGGTCCGACAGTCAAAGGCACTGCTCCTTTTCACAGCGCCGACGGAATCACCCTACTCCCTGAGAAGATGCAAACCCTGCAGCGATGGGCCGAACAAGTCAATGGCGTCAACATCCATCCCTCCACCATCTCCGACGCCGCCATCGATCGTCTGCCTCAAGTAGAGACCAACCCCGACCTCGACTTCGCGCCCTCTCTACACGAAGCCATCAGGGCCGTGCAACAGCTCACCAAAGGGAAAGCGCCCGGATCGGGCGCGATGCCCGCTGAGATTTACAAGTGCGGTGGCCCACAACCTATGGAACACCTAACAACGCTCTTTCAGGATATTTGGCATCAAGGAGACGTCCTCTAGGACTTCAAAGACGCCACAGTAGTCCATATCTACAAAAGGAATGGGAACCTCCAAATCTGCGATAACCACTGAGGCATTTCTCTGCTAAACATCGGGGGAAAAATCTTCACTTGCATTCTTTTCAATCGTATGAACAAACAACCGGAGCAGGATCTCCTGCCGGAAAGCCTACGCAACTTCTGCCGTCATCGCTGAACCACGGACCTGATCTTCGCCGCCCACCAACTGCAGAATATGTATCAGGAGATGCGGATCCACCCCTGCTTCACCTCCGTGTATCTAACGAAGGCCTTTGACACAGTGAATCGCGAAGGACCGCGAAAGCGGGCGCATGCACTGAGGGCCAATAACCCCAACGGCGGACACAGACAAAACTACTTGACTGGAGAGACGGCTTTCGGCAGCTGCTCGTGGAGCCTCTTGCACGCTCTTAAACGTCACACACGGCCCGGTTCTCGTTGTATGTACCAGGCTCTGCCAGGAGACATGCCCAGCACGTACGTGAGATATGCGTGTTCTGGCATGCGACGTTTTTGTTCGTCATACCAACACTGGTAAGGTAGATGGTATGCCTGTATAGAAGAGAGGCATTGTGTTTTACGGAAATGCGGCGTATTTGTGAGTGTTTTGGGATAGGTTCAAATATAGTTTAGGAGGGACATATATATATACTGGAAGATGGGCATCCCAAGAAACATAATTCGAAGAAGAATGAGTCCTTTGGGAAAATGGACAAATTTTATTTCGTAAATTTTCGAGTCTGGTTACCCAGCTCGTCTTCAGACGTTTCTTGTGATACTCATCTCCCAGGGCATACGAATGAATTACGATCGCAAAGTTTTGCTACAAGCAAGACGGCGGGAAAAGTTTGCAATTCGCGAAAGTTTAGCGCGAAAACAGTTCTCGTTTTTACACAGAGAAGTTTACAGCAAACTCCCATTTCTTGATGTCTTCGTACAGCTAAAACTGACGGGACATTCCATAAGTCAGTATACCTCAAAAAAAGTTATCTTACATTATGAGAGCAACCACCCTATGGTTCACAAACGGAGTGCTGTGAACACTCCACTTAATCGAGCAAAGACACATTGCTCTGAGGACGAATGGTACAAAGAAGAACTCAATTATCTGTTCAACCTATTTTCCCAAAACGGCTACCCTAGAGATTTTGTACGCCGATTCATGAAACAGCAGGAATCAAAAGAAGGAAAGAAGGAACTAGATTGTTCCGATCAGATGCCAAAACCAAAACATTGGCGAACGCATCCCTACATTAAAAATGTGTCTGAACTCGTTGAAAGCCACCTGAGGAAGCACCAGATACAAGTGGCTTACAAACCAAATACCACGCTACGCAATCAGCTTGTACACGCTTAGGGTAGGGTTGGCTATTTGGATAAAAAAAAAAGTAGTCTATAAGATTCCATGTGGCACTTGCAATGCAGTATATTGTGGTAAAACCGGGAAATCCGCCTCTACACGCCTACATGAACACCGATTGGCAATAACGAGGCGGGACCCTTTATCCCAAGTCGCCACGCATACTCTTGAAGTTGGACACAAATTCGCTTGGGATAAAACACGCATTGTCGGTTCCTGCCCACATAAGAAAGGCCGAGGATTCCTCGAGGCCATTCACTCTGATGATTCATGCATCAATCGACGCATCGAACTTGACGCCATGTATACAAATCTCAAGGAAAAATGGAAACGGTAATAGCCAATCAAGGCGTGACATCAGCCCACAGTATTGATCCATCCTCAGCCATGACAAGACAATATCGATTTTTTGGGCATGTTTAAATTTTGACTGTTTCTTCACACTAACTACACGTCTGAAGACGAAATGCGGAACCAGACTCGAAAATTTACGAAATAAAGTTTGTTCGCTTTCCCAAAGGACTCATTCTTCTTCTTCTTCTTCTTCTTCTTCTTCGAAATATGCATATATACGCCCGTTAACTGCCGTTCCTTCCTCCCTTGTGTACAGAGCATGCAGTAGCAACCTGAAAAGTGCTCTTTTGCCTGAGTAGATGCTTAAATAATATTATTACGTAAAGGGTAGACTTGAAACAAATAGGAAATAAGCCTGTGAGGGTAAGAAGGATCAGGAGGGAAACGGTTAGAACTATGGGAGGTCCTTGAAACGGTTGGGGTTGAGGGCAGTTATTCAAACACGGCTATCTGGACCGAAGGTGTCCGTTGACTCCTTAGCAAACGCAAATCGGTGTTGGTGCAGTTAAAAGAGTGAACTAGAAAGTATCCTCCTGCTTGCTTTGCGCTGCTTACATGGGTACGCCGGGCTTGGTTAATTTCAACGAATCCTATATTTCCCCCTGAGGGATGCCCGGTATGTGCAAGTAAACATGCGCTGATTGAAAATACATTTCGCTTCTGTTGTCGTTGTTGTTGTTTGCCTCGCGATAACAGTGGTGGTGCGAACGAACGAAAGGTCTACGGCCATTGGGCCGAGAGGAGGGGAGGACCTCCCCTGCTTCTCGGCCAGCAGTCGCTGTAGAGAGGCACGAGAGCGAGGGTTTTGAAGGAGCAGGAGGAGGAGGGGGGAAGGCTGGCGAAATTCCGCACTTCCACGCGGGTGACAATGGTATGGATGCAAAAAGCGCAATCGATTAACCAAGTAAGTAGCTGGATGAGAAAGGGTCCATAAGGAGGCCGGTAGAAAGCAAGAAGGTGTGTCGCGGAAAGGACTGAAGTTAGAGTTACGGGTAAATACATAGTGGCAGGGAGAGGTTGGAGGGAACTGCGTTTACATAATGCTCGTGGCACGGCCTCCTCGAGCCACGCTAGTGCTCATCTCACGAGCGACCGAAAGGGCACGCAGACCTGGACCAATGGTGGTTCTCTTGATGGTGATGCTGCGCTCAGCCATGTCAGCCCTGTGCTCGGCCTCCTCAATCTGTTGTTGGGCCTTGCGGTACTTGTTCATCGTCAGCTGAGATACCTCCTCCTACAGAATAAACGTCGGATCGTATTAAAGGGGCTAAAAATCGCATAACCTTAGGGAATTAAAAACAGTCATGGGGAACTGACGCCCACTTACCTGCTCATCGAGCTGACGTTTATAGGCCTTCATCTTCATTTGGGTCTTGTCAAGCAAATCCTGCAGTTCCAACACCATGCGGCGATCCTCCTCACATTGGGTCTGTAGCTCCTTGAATTGACGTTCGTATTTGCGTGCGTTTGCCGCGGCATCCTTGCTTCGGCGAATTTCCGCGTCCAGCTCGGCTTCGAGTTCACGCACACGGTTCTAGGGGATAGTGATTTGGGTTAAGGAGGGATGGCATGCCCTTTTAACATGATCCTACATATGCATTCCAGACACGTTAAATAATCGCAGATAAGGAAAGCTTAAACACCCTCACGATCGATACTGGCCGCAAAACAGCGTTCTGCGTCTAGTTTTCTTTGCAGATAATTTCTTCTGTGACTGAATATGAGCAAAAGAGTGTGCGCAAACTGTCTCCGACTGAGCCAGTACGTCTTCTACTTAAAACACATAGTTTGATATCCAGGAAATTGCATGAAGCATACTTCGCGGCTTCTTTCTGAATGTCATGCTGGGTTAAAGAACTAAAGGATAAAATACTACGATGCGCCTTTCCGAACTTGGAGGTCAAAGACCTAGCAGTTTCACTTATTTGTCTAATCCTCGAGACATCTGTTCAAAGATTCATGGCAAAGCAAGTAACTTTACTGAACATACTTCGCGACAATAGGGGCCTTTAAAGCTATCTAAAATAATGCAGACGTCTAGCGCATGCGAATGGTTATCAACAGTTCCAAGCTTCCGTGCAACATTCCACCAGGCTGAGCTCCCTCATAGCTATTTGAGCCAACACAATTGCCATATATATTATTTTGAGAATATTAAGTTCGGTAGCCGTGCTCGAATTCACCAAGTTTAATGAGATGTACCTATGGTAGACCTGTCATTGTGCACTTAGTCTGAGCAATTCAGAGAAACCGAAAAGTTTGATACCTGGAGCTTCTGAACCATGCGACGGCCCTCCCGGGTGGCGAAGGATTCAGCCTCCTCAAGCTTCACGGTGATCTCGCGGATTTCGATTTCAAGCTGTTTGCGGAGGGCCTCAGCACGTTTGTAGTTCTCCTGCTCCTGGCGCAGTTCGTCAGCGAGACGGAGAACCTCGGCATTCAGACGATCAGCACGGTCCTCGGCAGCCTAAGAGACCAAAAACCACACAAATAAACGCTGGGAAAATGTAGGCAACGGGAATAAAATGAAAGGGACAAATCCTAGTACAAAATCAGTGGCTTTGAAATTCACTTTAGGAGAGACTAGATGGATAGCGTGGGGTGGAGAATAAGGGAGGGTTCGTACCTTTCGGGCGTTGACTGCCTCATCAAGGTCGCCCTGCATGACACCAAGGTCACCCTCAAGACGACGCTTGTCATTGGTCAACGCATTCACTTGCATTGTCAGCTCACTAACGCGGTTGTTAGCCTCACCGAGCTCGTTCTCAGCGTTCTTGCGAGCGCGTTCGCAAACCTCAAGAGAGCTGCGAATTTCTTCGATCTCGGCTGTCAGTTGGATGCGCTTGCGTTCGCTTGCCTGTAAACGAACTGACACTGTTTATCTCGGCAAGGTTAGTTAAACTGACTTAGTGTAAAGGTATGTTTTGCAAGCAGAAATATAGCAGAGGAACTATGTAAATTGTACTGGAAAAGAGACTAGAAACGGAAATCTCACCTGAAGATTGCCCTCTGCGGCCTCACGAGCTCTGCGTTCGTCGTCAAGGGCAACCTGTAGCTCCTGGACACGTTGAGCAAGGGCTTTGTTTTCACGATTGAGGTTAGCATTGGCCTTGTTTGCCATATCCAACTGCATTTCCAATTCGCTGATCGTAGCCTCGTACTTCTTCTTAAGACGCGACGTCTCCGACTTGAAACGAACCTCCATCTCGGTGATGGTGGCGGTCAACTCTTCGATTGTGCGAGTAGTGCTCTTGCTAGAATATTAAACGAAAAAAAACAGCGACCATGTTACATATGTAGAACACAATTATAACACAAGGCAGTGACGTTTCCAGGGCCTTCTTACCGCAGGTTCTCCAATTCTTCATCCTTCTCGCGCAGACGCTGTTCCATCTCCGATTTCAGGTGAGCCAGAGCGGATTGAGAGGATTGGTATTTAGCTTCGAGGTCTTTAAGGGCCTCCTCGGCATCATGGAGGGCAGAGGCTAGATTGTCTCTTTCAGCCTCCAGTTGCGAACGCAGAGCCTCAAGGTCAGTCAGGCGGCGGTTGGCGTCACGCAGGGCAGACTTGGTCTCTTTCAGTTGCTCTAATATCGTGGTAACAAATCAAACTACTAAGTGCCTCTGTATCCATCTTGGGAGCATACTTAAATCAAAGCATCACTTCCCATATAGTTTTTTGATAAGCGTCCCATTTCGGTCATATTAAACAGATTTACCTGTGCTTTCGCCTGCTAGCTTAAACGGCAGCAGCAAGCCCTAGCTATGTAGACCACTCTTTTGCAGGTCAAAGTCGCCCATTTGCTTCCGATTTAACCAATCACCAGGTCGTAGACAAGGAGGTCTATGAGGTTTATTAATTTCTAATATAGTCTTCCAGACTCATCTATAACTGGTGAAATAATAAGGGCTTTAAACGAAAACGAGGGTAAGGCACCACGCTCCATGAGAACTAAAGGAACTCACCGGAGAGTTGATTATTCTCACGATCGAGGTTGCTGATTCGATCGGTGAGGTCGTTGACCTGCGCCTTGAGACGAATGTTGTCCTGTTCGAGGGCATTGTTGGCCGAGGTGAGGTTATTCACTTCGATGGTCAGTTCGTCAACACGGCGTTGCAGTTCGGCAGCCTGATGTTCAGCAGCCTTGGCGCGACGGGTGAGCTCGGCATTGTCAGCGGCCAACTAGATGGTGAGTAAATGCGTTACTGCGTCTTTTTAGGAAAGTCAAACGTAGCAAAATGTCATCCTATCTATGATTTTCTCCAATGAGGAAGACAAAATAGGAAGAGAATAGGATTGTCGACCCTACCGCCTCATTCTCAGCCTGAAGATCCCGGATTTCGATCGTGAGCTTATTCTTGGTCTTCTCCAGGTTGGAGGCGCGTGTACGTTCATGCTCGGCCATGTCAGTCAGCTCATTGATTCGGACGTTGAGCTTACGTCTAAAAGGCACGCAAAGGTTTGTTTCAGGGTTTTTCCATGGTCGAATTCCAGGTACATGCAATTTTCTGGGATGAGTAAACTCACTTCATCTCCTCAAATTCCTCCGTTTTAGCTATCAACTCCCTCTCCAGGCGAGTCTTCAGGGCAGCCATGTCAGCATTGAATTTAGAAACCTGGTTGCGGAGCGCACTGGCAGCCTCTGATTCCTCTTCGAATCGAGCCTGGAGGTTGTCGTAGTCCATTTGGAGGCTAGCCATTTGGGTCTGCAGATTTAGGCGATTCTAGAAGAGATAAAAGGCAAATTGCCCGTAAGAAGACAGTTAATCATCAGTATTTTAACTGGCACTTTGGCGGTGTTTGCATAGGTGCTTACGCGAGCCTCCTCATCAAGAGAGCGTTTCAGGTCATCAACCTGGGCTTCAAGAGCAGACTTGATTTTCGAAAAGTTGAGGATTTGAGCCTCATATTCCTGGTTAATGCGAGTCAACTCGAAGTTCTCCGCAGTAAGTTTGCCTTTAACCGCATTGGCATCGGCCGCCTGACGCTGAAGGTCGTCGGTAAGACCCTTCAGGCGAGCAAGCTGACTTTCGAGGCCCTCCAACTTGGATTCAGCTGATTGCTACAAGAGATTGAAAACACGTGAATTTGAACTCCCGTGTGTGAGGGTGGCAGAAGAGTTGAAACTACCCCTTTTAAATTGTTCTTTTTACCTTGGCCTTGAGGGCCCCATCAAGCTGTCCGAGGACGGAATCGATCTCGATCATGAGCTGATTCTTGTCTTTCTCAGCTCTAGGGAGAGTAAAATGGGGAAAAGGCGGACCATTAATTGAAAGATGCAACGACCGATATGATATTCCAGTGTTTGCTTCACTGTTAAATTACATACTTTCCCTTCTGTTTCTGAAGATTCTCAACCTCGGTGGTCATCTCATTGATCATGGTGTTGTGCTTCCGACGAAGTACACTCTCGGCATTTTCGAAGGCGGCGTTGGCGTTCTCGAGATCTTTGCGCAACTTCATGAGTTCCATATCTTTTCGTCGAACTGTCTCATTCTACGGACATAGCGTTGGAGGTAGCAAGAAAAAATACGTTTACACAGTCCGACATTGTGTCACGCTTTAGAAATGATTAAACAACCAGTACGACCAAGTATAATGACACTAATAGCATTATTGGTCAGAGCCCCAAATTTGGAAGGGACATAGAAGGGATCTAATTAGTTCCGTAATAGTTTTTTGCCTTAAATTCAAATCTTCGGTTACCGTTTTGTGCTCCGGGGCCAAGACCAATCTGCGGCTGGTTTTATCTAGGAAAGGACTACCTGGTGACATGTGTGCTGGCATGTAAATACAACCTGTATTTTAACTATCTTGAGTACTAGCAGTGACAAAGAGGACGGCGGGGGTAGAGAAGAAATTGTTGCTTCCTTATTTCGAATGCAAAAGAGCACCAAAAGGTCTTCTAATGCGAACAGGGTGGAAATAGGGGAAAAAATGTGGACTTCATTCAGGCGTCTACGCACAACTTGTAACAATTTTACGTGTCATTGGTTAATCCAGTACTTGCATGTTTTCTCACCAGACGCAGTTTGACCGGTCGTCCTCCTTAGAACCAAGGGGGGTACTTCTCACTAACGTCTACTAGTTGTCACCTAAGCCTTCTGTTGACTGATATATTTCTAAGTTTCGCCTCATCGGTATCCCCAACTATAAATCGTGGCTGTTGCAAACCCTGATATACGAATTTCAAACTTCGACCCCATTGCTGACATTTGACCCTTAATTAATTTAGCTTGTTTGGATTCTACTGATATGTTTGCATGTTTACGTTGGCGTGTATGCAATACTGAATCATTGCTTCGTCCCCCCCCCCCGCCCCCCAACTTCTTGGCTGGCACTGTGGCCACGCGTGGTTAAGGCATCTGCGCGAAACATCGATCAATTTGCGCATCTGTATTGTGATTGGTTGTCCGGGCCGCTGTAGGGTTGGTGGCAAATATGGGTAGTGCGGCTGTCGGTAAAGTTCAGGAACGCTAGACGGTGGTGTGCCATGTCGCCTGCGGGGATCGGGCACCGGCCATACAACGGCCGAGAGGTGCAGCCGCGCACTTCCCTGACAGACGAAACACCCGCCTACGCAAGTTCATTCACACCTACAGGAGGTGGGCTAACTGATGAAATGTCAACCGAAATTCCAAAATGAGTTTTCGTTTCAAAAAGAGTAATTAAGTAGAGTTGTAAAACAAGTCAGCCTGCAACATAGTTCTATAATATTTCAATTACCTCAGGATGCCGGCTTTCGAACGGACTTCTTTCCGACTGCATGCGAAAACTACACTCTGTAAAAAATGACTGTTTAAGTAGAATGGATTTTTCTGATTGATTTTCGATACCCCTAAAAGTCCAATTATATTTCATGGAAGACATGCATGAAAATATTTATTCTTTCGTTCATTCGGTATACAATTACGTCTTCTTCTAATTGTATACTCGAAGGAGGGACGTAATTCGGTTTTAAAAACGTTTCTAATTGTGGGACTTTTAAATATCGTGAAATGGCCGTTCATAAATCGTCATGTGTCTGCATTCACCAATGTGGCTTGTTAAGTTAACAATATGGATCAAATCCACTGTTGAATTTTATGAACCCTATATGGGCTCCCTTTATTACCGTGGAGAAATGTGTGGTTTGCCGTACGCGGAAAATATACAGCTAGTAGTTTTGAAACCCTGAATCCAAGTGTAACGGTAGAGAGGCGTCAAACTTATTCGGGAATTGGAAAAGTTTTTGAAAACCGAATTGTACCCTTCCTCGGAGTATAAGATTGGAAGAAGACGTAATTGTCTACCGAATGAGCGAAAGAATGAATACTTTCATGCATGTTTTCCAAGAAATATAATTGGACTTTTATGGGCATCGAAAATCAGTGAGAAAAATTCATTCTACTTAAGTTGTCATTTTTTACACAGTGTAGTTTTTGCATGCAGCCGGACAGAAGTTCGTTCGAAAGCCGGCATTTTGAGGTTACTGAAATATTATAGAATTATGTTTCAGGCTGACTAGTTTTACAATCCTGCTTAATCTTTTCGAAACGAAAACGCATTTCGGGATTTCTGTTGACATTTCATGAGTTAGCCCACCTATTGTAGCTTTTAAAATAGCACACACTACGATAGGGTTGCTTGATTTCGACTCCGGTTTTTTAATCGCTCAGTTGCATAAATAACGCACGAACGCTGACCTTAGCGGTCAAACGTCTTTGTTGTTCATGCTTTGACGACCAATAATCGTACCCAAACAATAGGTAGTAATAAGTTACGGAGGATAAAATTGCACCACTTAAAGGACTAGATCTAAAAACAGAGAGAGAAATTCAGACAGGAGGTCTGTTTAAAAAGAGCAAGCCTCTAATTTACCACTTGAGAGGAGGATCCACTCAGTTCATCCAGGCGCTCGGAGAGAGCCTCGAGCTGAATGGCCAGCTCGTTGGCATTCCTCTCGGCCTTAAATAAGAAAAAAACATTTAAGTACTTAGGCTAGTACTCGTAGTAGACGCAGAGTTTTTAAAAAAATCCAAATTTGAACATATCTCTTCTAGTGGTAACCGAATACATGAAGTTTGCTATGCAAGTACCTCCAGACGGTACGAGAGCTCAGTTAAAATCTAATTTTTGCAGCGAAATAACGCACAAAATGCGAACGTGCACGTTGGAAAACGGATTCTGCAAGGAAATAAGGTGTTAACAATTTACTACTACCAACCATCACAGCTGTTCATTCTTATAGATTAGGTTATTATAATACGTCACGTATTCAAGAGACGCATCAGACCTATATGTCTGAAATACCCGGCAGATATTTTGAAGAATTCCAGATAGATTCATGACTAGTGCAAATTTCCCTGGGCTAAATCTGTAGACCCCGTGGAACGTACATATTATTTTCTTCTCCGCCTCTACTCCGGTAGCGGCTGGAGTGCAATGTCCCACCAAATTTTTTTCAAAAGGAGTCTGGTAACGTCTATTCATGCGTTTACACTGCCGCAGCAACTGCGACACAATTAACTGCCTATGTCAAAGTAAGCTCGACAAGGGTTAAATCTCGCATGTGTTCATTCGGCTCTGCTTGAATCCGATTAGGATGAAGAAATTACTTCGCCACAGGTAAGCGCCACGGGAGCATAAAGCCGTCATGTGGATGAAATAGCTCAATGACCATTCACATCAAAGACATGGAATCCGAAATAGTCATTTCCAGTCGACAATGCCAGATGCCATATGCTCATCACCAGGCAGCTGCCCTCAAGGATCTCATTTCAGATTTAGAAAGCAAAGCGCATAGCCCGTCATCCGTTAGATGCTCAAGATAGATCCGCTAATGCTTCTGACGGTAAGACCGCTGGCAGTATGGATCTGTTCTTTTTGTGCTAACCAGAGTACAAAAAACCAGGCGAACGATGAGTCCGGTTCCGAAACTTCTTTGCTGGTCAGGTTTTTAGGGTCAAAATACATATCCTAGTGGCGAGCACCAAACTTCTGGGGGGAAAAATAATCGAATGGAATATATAATTAAGTTTAGAAATAGTGAGAAACTATTGTGCAGCTTATGGAATTCATTATTCAAAATGTCTTCTGTAGGATAGTAATTCAGAAAGAGTCCGCACACAGGACATTATATAGCTATAATTAAACCATTCACCCCCTAGCCTGGACCTGGTTACAGCACGAAACAGTCTCATCCTCCTGTCAGTGTTTACCCTGTATTCATTACTCTAATTTAATCCCAGTTAGTAGCAAAGAGACACACGGGACTCTTTCTTGCAAACGAAAATAGGCGACCATCCCAGCTCTAATACGAGGGGATCTGGGAAGGAGACGAGAACGCTAGAATAATGATTTCACTCGTCTAGCGTTTCGGACTCGTACTCGAACCCATCATCAGAGACAGTAACAGGGGAAGGTAATGAAAGCTCAGGGGGCGCGTCCTGGGCGATGGGTTCGAGTACGGATTCGAAACGTCAGGCGAACCAACTTCTTCTTCCGCCAATCGTGACTGCTTTTTCTCAGCTCTCTCGTGGAACTCCCCCTTCCTTTCATATTGACGAGTGGGTTTGTGTAACGGGTGAGGGGGTAATGTTGGCCCATCTGACTTTTTCCAACTTACCACTTATTTCCGCCTGGTTTAGCGTTAATTTTGTGCTATATGGCGCCCTCAAAACAATTTTCTTAATCGTGTACATGCAGTGACTCAAAACTAATCAGAACTCTTCACATGCGTGCAAGGGAAAAACCTTTGTTTTCCTAAGGGAAATTTTGACGCTTTCTTGTTATGAGGAAGAATTATTGCCTCCGACATTGCCTAATTACATGATTGTGTAAGTTACTGTTCTCTGGAGGACTAAAAGATTTATAAGAAGGGCTACCGTCTCGCGCACTCTGAAGGTTCCAGTCAGTCCATTTTCGATGTAATAATGAAAAAACACGAAAAACCAGGTAGGTCAAGTATTGTAAAAATCTAATATGCACGCCGGAGGAAGCACGCTATCTGCTTGTGCGAGCCACATGTTGGCTTTAATAGTGAAATGGAGTTGAACGGCAGAAAAATTATTTCTAATTTGTTTTACAGACCATCAGTGTATGGTTCTTTCACTGGGGGTGTTTTAGAAAAACTGACTTACGCGAACGCGACCATCACGTTCCAGGTCGAGAAGATCCTCCAACTCTCTTACCCGGCTCTGGAATGGAGAATAATACCGACTTTGAGCTGCTGAATAGAAGATGCCCCTAATTACTCCAGTTAAACGATGCCTGAATTAAAGTTTGTAACTTTTGGGAGTATAAATTGTAATCGCCAAGGTGGTGAAACTTTCCAAGCACCCTGCGCTTCCAAAATAGTATTTTGAATTAATAACTTCATTGAGTGCTCCACAATAAAATGCATACGAGCGGAAGTTACAGTTAGACTAGCATGATTAACAATGCAAGCAGAAGTATGATGCATTAAAAGGGGTCTAACTCAATGCACACGCCAATTGGTTTAGATGTTTCATTTCTGTAAGTCGATGGCAAAATCGTTACTCTGTATGCAAAATACTGTGTTGAGTGCATTATTCTGAGTTCATTTGATTTTCGTGTTTGGGACTTGTTTATCGCATAAAACCATACTAGGTGAAACAGACAGAAAGGGCCGAATTGAGGCTGAGTTTCGGCCAAACCCTCTCCCTACACGCAACCTTTTCCTCAATCGATGAAAGTCCTTGTAGTACAAAAGTCGACATTTTGAATCGTGAGTTGTTGTCATGCTGCCCTTCCGGTTTGATCTCTCCGTTCCTCCTCCATGCTGTTTCTAGACCAAGTTTTCCATCATACGTACCGCGCGAAGCTGACCAGCAAGGTCCGCTTCTCATGCCTAAATTATTCAACAACCGATCTCAGCCAGCAAGCAATGCACGATGCCTCCATGGGTCATCTGCAGAATAATTTCAGATCTGACAGGTTCTTTCCTTTACTGACGCTCATTTTCTTTTGGTCCTGTTAGGTCAGCTTACTCTTAAGCATCAAACACATTTTAGTAATAGGATCAAATCAGTGATAAAACCTGTTTTTTTTTCAAAAAAGGGAGCATTATTCCCGCGGTACCCAACCGACCGCTTCATTTAACCCCAGGTACTTCGTGAGGTTAAGTTCATAAGTGAAGTTTTTTTAGTCAGTTTTCTGCTCAGGCAATGTCCTTCACCACAAGTATAAAGTAATTGAGTTGTTTACAGAAATCACATGTTTACGTGTTATCAACAAAAGTAGGGACTAAGGAAAAGAAGTCTCATGCACTTACCTCTAGCCTAACAGTGCTAGGCGAGGTACCGCGGTAGATGGTACGGGTGAGCTTGATGTTTGTCTCGGTAGACATGTTTTCTTAACGTAGGGGTTCCTCGGTAATTGTTTTCCAGACGACAATAGACAAGCTAGTAACCAATTAACTGAACGATCAGGAGGACCAGATGATTCCGAAAGCAATTCAAAAGACTGAAACAAGAGCGAGAGGGCAGCACAACCACCAGGGAACAGCTCCGAATGCACTCGTGCGAGTGAAATTTGCAGCCAGAAGGATGGCAACAACTTATTCCGCTGCAGGTTTTCGGTCCTGCATGCCCATTGGCTGGCTCGAATAGGTTGGGTCGTCCCTTTCTCGCCTTCCTAGGACAGATCCTGGCCATCTCCTTCCCCCGTTCCCAAGGCTTTGCCGGTGGCGGTGAAGATCGATTGGCACAAGTGAACTGCAGCTGTGCGTCCTAGCGCCGCGTGAACGGCGACGCAGAAAGCGGTAGCCCTTTGGGCGCTCGTCCGCACGCACTTCCCAGAGGTGACACGTTGCACACGACGCGGGTTTTCAGGGTCGATATGCGCGAAGCGTCCATTGGTCAGTCCCGATCACGACGATTACGCAACTCCGCCACCTAAGAGCCGGAATGTTCTTCCATCGTTGCGATAGTGGGCGGGGGAAGGGGGTGATGATGACCACGGCCGCCGCGCGGAGGCGCACCGCATACCACCTGGGATATCAGCGTCGTTTTCTTTTAGGACACACCACCAAAATCGGCGACGGGCAGTTGTGCGAAGACGTTGAAGGAGTTTATGCAGGTCTAAGCGACGGTGGTGGACACGCAAATCGACGCAGAAGCGTCCACAGGTCTGAGCTCTTGCAGTCGTCATGGACAGTTTTTTGGGGGTTTGTACCAAAAAACCGGACATAGGCCTCGGTAACTCACTTAACTCTTGGGACGCTGATGATATTGTAGTAAGTCGCAAAACTCCACATGGTGCGGATGGAATGCTAAAAGGATTCCGGAGAAGAACCTGCATGTTTTGCGAACTTTGTTTAAAGTAAAGAAATCTTCGCAGGATCTATTTCCCCTCGGAGGTGTGGGGTGTTTACGGTCGCCCTAGTTTATAATTGCATTGATAAATCCAATAACAAAACTTACTTAGGGCGAACTTGAAGACCAGACTAAAAAAAGCATTCGAAGTTATTCGAAAGGGCTACCATAAACAAGTAATAAGCGCTATAGACAAACTGAAGGAGTGTAGGACGGTTTACCCTAAAGCAACAGAACTACCGGCATCTTCTAAGCGATTCCTTAAATACAGTCCGCGGTCTGCAAAACACTAAAACTATGGTGAGTCAAAATCCTTGACTTTAAGAAGTACTTTGGCTTATGGGCCCCATTCTTACGGAATCTACAAGCAAGAATAACTTTTGACCTACTTTCAGGACCTTTCGATTTCGACTTTTCCCCTGTTTGTTGCCAAAGTGTCAAATGTTCGTTGGTTCAACCTTTTTTCCACTCGAAATTTGTTGACTGAAATAACAACTTGTGGTTTATTTGTCGTCATCAGTCGGTAATGCCCCAACCCCAGATGTTGGCGCACGCCTGGGTTTGAAGTCAGACTCCTCTAGCATGTAAGTCCAACGCTCTGCCCACGCGATCTACTGAGCTTCTGCTCTGTCGGCTGCGGTAGACAACACATACGATGGGATTGGAGTTTACAGATCCATCCTTATTGCAGAGAGAATGCAGAGTGCTCCCGTTTAGCGTTAGGCTTTTACTCTGAAGTCTACACAGGCGGTAGCCATGAGTATCCCTACATCCCTGCGGCAGAGTTAGCAACCTGCGAAACGACTTAGGGCTCTCGACTGTTTCTCCAAGCTCAGACGGATAAAGGGGAGTGGAGGCGCAAGAGTCTGAGGAGTAAACCTTTCGGGAATATGAACCGAACTACTGATACCAGTATGCTGACAGCGAGCTTGTACTCATCAAATTACATTCAAAACAGACTTTGTATGTAGTAGGTTGCAGGATACCACACTAACAGCACAAGTACAGTAGGTGTGCTAACTCATGAAACGTTAACCGAAATTCTGAAATGCGTTATCGGTTCGAAAAGATTACTTAAGTAGGGTTTAAAAATTGATCATCATGCAGCATAATTCTATAATAATTCAGTTACCTCATGATGCCGGCTTTCGAACGAGCTTCATTCCAACCGCGTGCAGAAACCACACTTTGTAGAAAATGACTACTTACGTAGCATGAGTTTTTCTCATTAATTTTAGATGCCCTTAAAAATTTAACTATACTTCATGGCGAACATGCATTAAAAATTCGTTCTTTTACCTATTGGGTAGAAAATTATGCCTTCTTTAAATTTTATACTCGAGGATAAGTATACTTCGGTTTTCAAAGTCTTTTCTAATTTCCGAATAATTTTGAACCCGATCTGTCGTTGCACTTGTATTCAGGGTTTCCGAACTGCAAGCCGTATTTCTTCCGCGGACGAAAAACCATATATTTCTCCACGGTATTATTAGTGGATCATATGGGGTTCATAAAATTTAGCAGTGGATTTGAGCCATATTGTAACCTTTACAAACAACATTAGTAAATGCAGAGACACGATGTTTTATGAAAGGGCATTTTGCGCTATCGAAAAATATCATAATAAGAAACTTTTTAAAACCGAATTATACCCCTCCTTCGAGTATAAAATTGAAAGAAGGCGTCATTTCCTACCCAATGTATAAAAGAACAAATTCGTTTATGCACGTAATCCATGGGATATATTGAAATTTTTAAAGATATCGAAAATCAACGAGAAAAATCCATGGGACTTAGATAGTCAATTTTTACAGAATATGGTTGCAGCATGCGGCCGGGAAGAATTTCTCTCCAAAGTTGGAATTTCGCGTAACTGAATTATTATGGAACTATGCTGCACGATGATCAATTTTAAAATACTACTTAAGTAATCATTTTCAAAGGAGAACGCATTTTATAATTTCGATTTACGCTTCATGAACTAGCATACCTACTGTACTAGCTAAAAGAGTAAACACGCGTTAAGCCGATATTCTGCCGCTGCATGGCAGAGATGCAAGGAGTACGGCTCATCAGCGGGTCCCCAGCATTCCCCCGTGTGCTTTCTGGTAGATACTCCAGTTAAGAACTAAGGTCTATAGTGGTAGACCCAAATTTGATGATGAGTCGAACCCCTCGTAGCTGTGCCATGTAGTGGCAGAATATAGGCGAAACACGTGTCTGGACTTTTAACTAGTGCCTGTGCTGTTAATATGATGTTCTGCAACCTAGTGTGTACTACTAACTGCCTGTCGGCAGTTAATGAATATTACACGGTTATCCCGCCATAGCTGATGGACATCAGCCCAAGTTTTCATACATCCAACTTCGGTCTACGTCTATAGGCCTTTGTTCAAACTGATCTACTCCAAGTTACCAACTAATGTCTGAGAAAATTAAAAAGTAGGACTTTGTATGACTTACCCAGATCTCTCTTGCTTGAATGGAGAAGGGTAATGCAAAAGGAAATCTCCAAAGACGACCAAATGATGAACTAAAGGCAACATTTTAGGGGGAGCCACGAACACTACATAGATCCTTCGTTACCATCGGTTGGGGCACGAAGGAAGTCGAAGGGAGACTCCGCGCTGAAGAGCAGACGCACTGCAGCCCTTTAGAGGTGAAAGCAAACGGTGTGAACTAATTGATAAGGAACGACATTCCGCGTCCACCGGTAGCCATAATTCAGAGAACTTCTGCGTCTCGCCGGTTTGGTTGTTATTATCTACCAACTTTCTTGTGTTGGCTGCATTGTATCTATAGTGGTCAATTTAGGCAAAAATCAGAAGCGTTCAGATTGGCAAAGTTGAAAGATCCGGATTGATTATTCGATGAAGAAGATGGGTTCTCCGGAACAGGTTTATTTCAATGCTGACATTTCAAAGAGCTTGGTCGGCTCTACATTGCCAAAGCATTTTACGCTTTGACAATGGAGATAAAACCAAACTCTTTGAAATGTCAGCATTCAAATAAACCTGTTCCGGAGAGCCCATCTTCTTCATCAAATTAGAAACGCCTTTGCACTGACAGGAGATGTCCGTGCGAAGGGGTGGCTCTCCGCATTCCGCAATAAAATCAGCTCTTCGACTTCCTTTGTCATGGAATAAGTGGACGAGTTCGAGGGTAAGGTGGCGAGGTGAGTTTATGGAGGCATATGAATCAGGTTGTGGGACAAACAGATGCATCAGATTTCGCTCCCCCCCCCCTCCCGCCTAGTATGGTTGGTGTATGCAGACCGACCCCGTGAGTACCAGCTGCTACGAAAGTCCGTGTAACTGTTCATAGGGCTGTAACACAGACACAGTCGGCCTTTTTAGTGTAGATATATTTGCCCTCTTGCCTTCCTCACACCACCGGGGCAGGATTTAAAAACCATTGGAAGTTTTTGAATGAGAAATTCCTCTTCCCAATGCTCGACTTGCTTTTCCCATCCTAATCAGAAGACGTTTCTGAGATGCATTACTTTTTGTCCACTCACATATTAAATCAGGCACTTTTTACGTCTAAGCAAAATGCTATGGAGGTTTTTAAAATGGACGACTATCAGATTTCGCTCAGCTTTGCCAACTTAACACCGAGACCGACAAGGCTCCATTTGGGTGCCAGTCTGTGCCCACGGAATTTTTTAAATGGCACACTGCGATGACACGATTTGTTAGGTATGAATATTACGCCCTCCTTGAAATACCTGTGGGGGGGGGCATAAACAATGCCGCCAAGGTTAATATAGCGTTCCCAACCCTTTGGGCTATGATTATTTGCACTTATGTGTTCTTATAATAAATTTATCGTACTTGTAAATCGCCATCTTGCTTTATTCAAGTTATTATAAACAGAGACTTGATTGTAAGGGGTAGGGTAAGCGTGAAATTCCCCAATCTAAAAAAATTAGGTTAACTTCAATATTTGACGTTTTACACAGAGGCAATATTTAATTTGGCCTCAACAGTGGAAATCAGTGCGCCAAGCTGAATACCTCGACCTTGACCTCTGC